GCGTGTTTGTTGAGTTAGGGTTAGATTATTGTGAGTTTATTTCATGTTCTGTTTGGACAGCCGCCAGCGTCCCCTCTCCCCCTCTGGGGGCTGTATCCGACGGCAAGAAGGTGTTCTAGCTGTAACTCGGCCCAAGGTGGTGATTGTATCATTCTTGTTCCTGTTTTGGCGTTTGCCATCCGCTCTCCCGGGACCTCACCCCACCTCCCATCCCTTCGACTCCTTGTTCCTTCCCGTCAGGCCAACCACATCACCCAGTCACCCTTGCCCCTCCCCGCTGTACTGCGTGGCCACCTGCCCCCTCCAGCTGTAAAGCAGCTCGCTGTTTCCAGCCGCACAAGTCCAAAACTGCATCCTTCCTCAAAACCTACAGCTGTCCAAATCCTGCAACCCCCTTTTCCCAGCCTCCCAAACCTCCAGCTGCCCTTCCAAAACCTGCAGCCATCCTCCAAACCTACAACTGTTCAAACCCTGCAGCCCCCTTGCCATTCTCCAAAACCTGCAGCAGCACCTCTCCCTCCTTCCACGCATGCCATCTGCCTCCTTCCCTCTTCGCCATTGCAAGGCTGGGGTTTTGTTGTCTTTCTTTTGTTTTCTGTTTTGAGTTATTGTGAGTCGTCATTGTAACCGATTTCAATTTGAGCAATAATATTCTGTTTTATTTGTGGTTTGGGTTAACTCCGATATCACATACATTTGCAGATAAGCTGATTTGAGGATTGACTGGCAGTGACAAGTTTTTGCCTAAGCTGATTTAGAAGGAGCTGTTTAAGCCCCTTTCAGCTAAAGTTGTGAGGTGTATTTGGAAAGCTCCTATTACAAGCAGCACTTTGATCTTTCCTTTCTAGATTTTCTTTGACTTAGTTTTCAACCACTCTCATCTTAAGTAGAAAGCTTATTATCGTTGTTAGTCGTGGTTCCTCGAGAGGCTGTAAAGAGCTGAGAATGCTAACCACTCTTTTTGTTAGATACCCTCCTGCAATCTTGGTGCAAAATTGTGGCAATCAAAATTAATACCAATGGACCATTGACTCTGATGTTGAATGGCTTTGGTCATCAACTTGACTATTAAATGAGATTGGGGGAGTTTGAGCTTGACCAATGATACATGATTGTTGTATACCTCATCAATTGGTGGCCTTCTTTTATATCTACCTTTGACACCATAATAGGTGTTAGTGATCTTATTCCTATGGATTGAAATTGGATGCAACCATATTCTTGACCGATTGTGACCTTGAGTTGAAAAGAAGGGTTACATGCATATTTATTTCTTGATTAATAGTCTAAGGATTTACTAAAATTCACAAGTTTTTGCATATGCTATTCATGATGAAGTAGCTAAATGTTTTTTGTTTGAGATTGAGATAGATTTATAATACTCAATTGACTAAAAAAACTGTACATTGCTTGGTGATTTTCTTTGAACTTTCAATAATTTGGTATTAAGTAGGCATATTAAGGTCAATCCTCATTGCAGATGATGGTTCTAGGATTTTGAGAATGCTATCATATTTTCATTTTTTGGCCTTTGCAAAGTAGGTGCTAAGTTGTTTCAATTATCAAATTCAATGTGTAATGAAGTGTCGATTAGGTTGATTTGATGGTCTTGTGCAATAAATAATGGGTGCTAAGTTGTTTCAATTATCAAATTCAATGTGTTAGGTTGATTTGATGGTCTTGTGCAATAAATAATGATCCTAGGATACTTTTCCCCTTTTAAACTAGTGGCCTACTTTTCTTTTTGATAAATTTGACACCATGCTATGAAGAGTGGATGTGACAATAATCCAAGCATTGAAAAGAGTAGTATATTTATTCCCGTTCATACATTCTTAAGACAAGTTGATTTGAGGATCAACTAATAACAACAAGGTGATGCCTACAATTTGCGAATGATGTGGCTTAAAATGATTTATTGAAGAGCTAAATATTTTTACTAAAGACATAATGATGATGTTATGTGATATTCAATATACAATTAGTTTTGTTAAGAGCCTTGCTCATCATGAAAGGACTATGCATGTCAAGATTGGTAGATATTTGACTTGCAACAAATATGAAATTGAAATTCTTTCTAAAGCTCTTAATTGCAATTCAATATTCTTATTTCCAAGATTGGAATGATCAACATATATTCCTAATCTGATGGGGAGTTCGAAGTTTTGGAGCCATTTTGGGTAATCTCTCAAGCATCAACCATTAATCAATTAAGGATGGATATTGGGAAATCCTTTTAGATAGGTGTCAATGGTTGTCATCGTTTAGTGCAAGACCCAACTGAAAAGGTCTCATGCTTTGAAAATTCTACTAAAGAGCATCAATTGGCTGCGTGCTCTATTTGCTGAAAGGTTTCTTAATCAAAATACTCGAAAACTGTTGAACAAGGCATTCATTCCTTTCATTTCCTTCATCAGAGTTAGCTTACATGAATGGTAAACAATAAGTGAAAGTCTTTGAAAAGAAACTTATGACACAAACACCATTATTTGTATTTTGTAAGGCCTACAGAATAATTGTTGATTTGCACCACAATTAACGAGGAGAGAACATAAAACATATAATAAATTGTGTTTTTGGTCAGGCAAAGCTAGTTTATCCCGTAATGCCCCCCTATAGCTCTTAACATCTTCTCCAGCCCAAACATGTCTTTAGTTTCATTAATAGGAGATTCTATTTGCAACTTGCAAGCAAATGAGCCTTGATCTTCGATATTTTGATGTTCACATTTTTCTTTGATCAAGAGTGCTCTCTTTTTATGAAAAGGTAGTTAAATGTAAAGGTTTGCACTCATAAGAAATTTTGAAGCTCATTTTTAAATAAAATATGTGACCCAATGTCAAGAAATATTGATTACTAGTAACTGCATGTTTCATATGCTCCAATGAAGTCTTCTTTTAATTCTCACACATGAGATCTTGGGAGCTGTGTTTTCTATGAGATCAGTTTGGATGGAATGAGTTCAATAATAGAACTAAATAGCGTAGTATTGGTAAAAATCATCAAAACTCTAATTAAGTCAAAATTTGGATAAGTCAAAATTCAGCCAAATTTTGACTTATTTTGAACATGATTAAAATTCGAATTTAGTAGATTTCAAGTTTAACCCAACTTGCTCATATAGCTTGAGTCAACTTGAATCATTAACTGAAATGTGTTCATATATAAAACTTATAATGATATAATATATTTTAAGTAAAATATGCTAGTATGTTAAATAAAAACCAATTTTGGAGTTACACAAATTCTGGTTCTAGTTGATTTGAAAGTAAACCATTTCAAGTTGAGTTGGCTCAATTCAAATAAAATTTTGTTACAATTCGAGTTGATGTCAATTCTTTGATTTCATGCGAGACAAATTTGTTTGAAATTGACTTTGGAAGGTTGAGTAGAAGAAGAATAGATTTAGCTTCTCTCGTATCATTAAAGCGTGCTCCAATCATTACAATTTTTGTCCATGCACAATTGAACTAATTAGTTGGAGAATTTCAAATGTATTGAGATAAAAAGAAGGGTTTTGGCAGTAGACTGCTGTTTTATTTGTGTTGTTATGGAGAGCATCCGTGCCTTGCGAAAATGAGATCCGAACTACACTTGGCCGCCCACGACTGCTTTCAACATAGTTAATATTTTTGGTTTGTTTCGCCAAAAAAATAGAAAATGTTGCTGCCTCTATTTTTTATGAAAGTTTGACACTTAATATTGTGAAAAAAATCTTCACAATTTTAGCCAACTTGCTATGATATTTGAGAACAGTCAAAAATAAATGAGATATTGGGAATCTTACTAATAGATCGTTAGATTTGTAAAAGTTAGCCAACTTGCTATGATATTTGAGAACAGTCAAAGTAAGCCCAAACCTGACCTTAGGCGGCCAAATTCAGTCGAGCATCTAACACTTCATTTCTGTGCTTCAAAATGTGAAAGAAAAATAGTGAATGAGTTCAACTTAAATTTGAGCTAGTTGAATTGAACATAAATATGAGCTAGATTAATTGAAGAATAATTAAGAATGAACCAGATATAAATTGAAGAAGAAACATATGAAATAAACTTATTTAAGATTAAAATTATTGGATTTATTGGAGATGACATTAGCAAGCTTGAATAAACCTTTTCAATTACTATGCTTAGATTCTTATCTAAGATGATTAGGAAAATTATGTTGGGAGTGAGAGAGAAAGTTGTTGGCCCTTCCCAATAAAACTAGATTCTTACTGTTTCGGACCCTTCCCAATAAAACTAGATAGAGCATGTTTGTAAATTAATTATTTCTATGTTCAATAGAAGTATGTTAGTAGGTGCACCTGAAAAATTGTGAGAACACACACATGTGCTAGCATATAAATTTATTCCCTAAGTAAATTTTTTCCACCAGATTAAGGGTATGTTTGGGGCAGCTTATTTGGTGCGGTAGCGTTTTGAAAACGCACCTGACCTGTTTGGGTAAACTGCGTTTTGGCAGCTTATGTGTTTTCAAAACGCTGAAAACAGCGTTTTCACACCGCATCTATCTAGGTGCAGTGACAACTTTCTGGTTGCGGTCTCACTTTTCCAAAAAAAATAATAATTTGTAATAGCTACCGTACCTAGCTTATCTGCAGATTATTTTTAATCAGCTTATAAGCAGATTATTCAATAAGCTACAGCTGCCCCAAACAGACCCTAATTTTCAATTGTAATAGAAATTTTGGGGAAAGATGCAATATTGATACTGGGGGTTGGTTCATATTAGTTAAATTGAGAAAATGAATGAAATGGTCCCCAATAATTTGTAAGTGTTCATTTTGATCTCAAACTATGGTTCTTGGATCTTTAAAATAAGAGCCAAAATAGAACTGCCATTAAAAGCAATGAAATTGAAGTTAAAGTTTATGGATGATGTTAAAAATGAAATTATTTTAGAAATTTTCGTCCTATTTTTAAATTTTTTGCAAAATATAATAAATGATTTTTTTTAGAAGTCTGATTTATGCTATAAATATTTATCAATAATTATTGCTAAATTTATAAATTTAATATGTGTTAATTTCATCACCAAGCATTTCAAAAATAAATAAGATATGTTGGGAATCTAACTAATAGATCGTTAGATTTGTAAAAACTTAAGATGTGATTTACTAAAATACCCTAATTTTA